AAACTATCTATTTGTTAACTCACCATTATGCAACAGTTAATAATTCAATATATATATATATATATATATTTTAGAATTTTATGTCCGTCACTTATTCGTATCTTCTACAAGTAGGTGAAATAAGTGGTTATAGATAGATAAATATATTTATTTTATTTGTCCGGATTTACAGCGCTTAAATCAGGGGTTCGATTCCCCTCCGTGAACACAGCAGATAGCCCGATGTGGCTTTGCTATAAGAAAAAAACAATTATTTTATTTCAGAAACCACCTACTAATGAAAGGTAATCACTTGTTACACATGTTTTATTCTCACAAATTGTGAATCAAGCTATACAAGAAAAAACAAAGTTAAACATGAGTTCTTTTTGACCTTAGAATTTTATTTAATACCCACAGAGAAGTGTCATCAATATGCTTTTTTTAAACATGTTAGTACAAATACTTCCACCCTTTTATGTCTGTACCTAAATATAATATAGTTTAAGATAAAGTGGTATAATGACAGAATTTGATGTACGTCATTATATAATTTGTGCTTGTATGTTTATAGAAAGTAGTTTAAGCAGGTAGTTTGGAAGTTACTATAGTAACGTTAGTATTGTTGCGTCAGCGAGGTCACGTGACTAGTATCACGCCACGTCCTTCTGGAAATATCCTGTTCCTTCATGAATGCTCTAGCGTTTACTAGATATGTGTTAGTCTTGTATATATAAGACGTCACAACGTGACGGGAACAATGAGTAATTGAACTGCAGTCAGAGAGAATATTGTTGAGCACGTGAGAAGTTCGTTGTGAATTATAGCGTTTGTTATAGAGCGACTGTTGAAATTAAGTGTATCGCAAAGTTTTATTCAGAGAGAATAAACCAGTTTTATTTGAGAAAGGACTTGTGTCGCTAAAGTTTCGTCGGAACGAATTTACGGAAAATTAACTAACGAACGGAGACATAACAGTATGCAATAACTGGTTTTGAGCTGTAGGGGGTGTAAAGTTGTACGATTCAATCAGTTGTGTACAGCTTCTGGTTTTTGAAAGTCAAAAGCATGAATTATTTTACAAAAAAATGCTGTCTGTTGAATGCCATAAAATTTGTAAAAGTATTTATAATTATTAAGGACAACGTTTGTGAACAGAAAAATAGTACAAATAACCTCACATCTGTTGTCAGGAGCTTACTTTTTAGTTTGTGTATTAAAGTAAGTATATGAGTGTGTTGGGCTAAGGATTCTTCTACAGTAGGTGTCTATGACTTGTTGGCGATATATTCGACGATAAATGAATAGCACGCTCTCCGCTTGTTTTAAAACAGCATATTCAAAACAAAGTAAACGTATGTACAAAAATTATTTACAAAAAGTCCACTTAGACCAATTCAATTGTTTTAGAATTCAATTGACAAGCCGAACTATTTTTCTCTATTTTTATATCTTAAACAATATCAGTGTATAAATCACTTATTTTTTTCTTCTCTCTCTCTTTTATTTTATCACAACTGTATCAGTCGCTGAGTTACCGCAGTTGTATCCTGAGCTTCCGATTCTCGTCTGCTTTTTCGAATTTAGGCCTACTTCCAATAAACATCTGCTTTCGCATATAGATCTACTTCCAAATAATAGTCTGCTTTCTGTCTAAGTCCACACAGGCAGCTTCAATTGCTATATAACACCATTTGACAAGACAAATTATTCTCCTAAATTGGCAGAAAACTGTTAATCTCACTTTAACAAATCAACCGTTAGGCTATTCACTCCTACGACGGTTAACGTTACGTTTTCAAATTTTTCTCTGATCGAAACTCTATTTCACCCAGCTTTACTTTTAGCTCTTTGCACGCTTTCTTTTTACGTCTGCTTGCCGCTATTTATACGCCTATCACTTAGGCCTTCTAGAAATCTCTATATCCTGGACATCAATGGATTGCACGCTACGTTCAATAGCCTCAACATCAATGAATTATAAACACAACGTACAACTCTTACCGAGTTAAGTAACCAAACTTGTCATAATTATCGCCTTTAAGATATTGCTTTTAATTCTCTTGTTATGAAAATAACTAAACAATAATGAAATATTCACTAACAAAAGGAATAGATTACTAATACCTACACTAAACAGTCTTTTATATTTGACACCTGTGCCCGAGCGTGATGTAATAGTTAGCGTGATAAACTGTTGATGCGAGGTTCCAGAAAATTAAATCACCATCGGTCAAATTTGTATACTTGACACAGTAAGCTTCGGAATGGCAGTTATACATTGGCAGGCTGTATTCAGTTCGAATTTCAGGTATAAATTCGTTTGTTTGTTTAAGTCGAAGCTGCACAGTGTGCAATCTAGGCTATGCCCACAGCAGGGACCGAACCCGATTTTTTACGCTACTAGCCCAGTTCAGGGCGTTTTTTAAACATACTAAGTAGTGGAGCAATTTCTCCAGTGGATCCTCTTTCCTGTCTCACAACTGAAGGAAAAATGTGTCTTTTTGCCCTAGTAGCTTGATATGTTTTGATGTAACATTTGTAGAACAAACTTGTAAAACGTTTATTTGATGAGCTTTTAACCATGATTCCATTACAGGCTGTAAGAAAGATACCCATCTTTATAAATAACGTGTCCTCATACATTGATGTTTTGTTTGCAAATGATATTTATTGTGATTGATAGATTTAAACGATGGATTCCTGAAAAACTTTTTGGGCCCATTTTGAAAGTTTGCCCCACTACTAAAAATTCCTTTAAAAATGCCCAACTAGGCCTCAAGCTTACCGTTGGGCCATGGGCTTCAGACATGAAAGTAATCATAGTACAGTCAAGTGTTAATTATGTGAAATTATCCTCTAAAAGTAATGGCTCGAAGGCTGTTTTCCAAATAACAAAGGTATGAACAGTCACATGAAGATTATAACTGTCATGATATAAAAGACTGTTTGGTTTAAATATTAATGATTAATTTATATTTGTGAGTGAATACTTTATTATTTTAAAGTTTT